GTTTCCAGCACGAGGCGGCCGTGTGGGGTTGAGAGGGCAGCAATACAAAGACAAACAACATCTGTGAATGGTTGAGGAACAAACTGCAAGGGCAGAGCAGCAGGCGTGTGATGGTGAGGGGGGAGGGAGGGAGGGAGAGTCGGGGAAGCCGGTCTGAGGCGGGGACAGAAAGTTGGGGTGCTGTGGGTGTTTGGGAACAGACAGAGACGGCGTAATTAGGGAAAGGAGATGAGCAGGATTCCCCGATCTGGCTCTTCCCCACCCCACCCCACACAGACTTGCATCCTCTTTCGCAGGAATGTTTTGGCTGCATCCCGGGGCCGGGTCACCAGCACCACTGCTGCCCAAGGCGGCCTCCTTGGTCAGCCTTTCTGCTAGGGTGCAGCACTGCACCGTCTGACCGGCTCAGGATGCAGCCCCGACCCGACTCAGCGTCGTCCCTTCCTGGTGGTGCCCGCACCGCTGCGTCTCTCCTTCCTGGTTCCCCGCATTGCTTCCCGAAGGCCTCGTATAGGTCCTTCAGCCCCTCGTCATCCTGCAGCCCCCTCAGGCCTCCTCATGACCTCTCCATCCCCCACCCCCCTGCCCAGTGGGCACTGACTGCAACTGTTTGCAGTTTGTGTTGAAACGGCCTTCAGTGTGGCAAACCCTGTGCACCCGGCCAGCTCAGCAGGGAGCCTCCACCTCGCAGAAACACGAAACCATCACTGCTGGCCAAAGGAGCAGCGGCTGTGGCCGGCCACATCTCAGGAGGTGCTGTGCCCCGTGTAGGGAACACCACGGAGTGTGGGATGGACGATGCACACAAAGCCCCTGGCTCACAGTGCCCACGTCCTCCAGGTCCAACATCCGGATGCGAGCAGGTCTGGTGATTCTGGTTCCAAGATGGGGAGCCAGCCCTTCCTCGGCGTGGAGCAGGAGCGGGTGGTGAGGAGGGCAGGGTGCCCAGCTCGCCCTCTGCTGAGGACCCTTGTGTCCTGATCACCCTTGAAAGGTCTCCACTCCTGATCCTGTCATAATGGCAGCGAGTTTTGGAACGGGCCCTCGGCCATCACAACGCTCGGGGCATACTTGCTCTTCATGAGCACGGGCTTCATTGAAGTTCCCGGGTTCAGTTTCAGCCAAGTGCTGCCTACCCCTGGTGCTTGTGTCCTGGCGAGTCTCAATACCCGACCTGCATCCTGCGGCCTGATCCCAGATCTCTCTGTGCCCCGGCGCAGGTTCTCCACTCCAGGCAACAGCCTGTCTCCCCGCACTCGCCCACGTACCGCATTGACCCAGCGGCCACCCACCGTCCTGGACACCCGCGCTGCCCTTCTCCTCCACAGCCAGGCGTGGGCGCTTTCCTGGAACTGTGCGCCTCACTGGCCCCTGCAGAACAGAATAGGCTCTTTTCTGTCTCATTAATCTCCGTAGTGTGAAATGATACCTTGTGTGAGGGGCGTGTATTATAAAACGTGTTCTGTAAGCAAACACAAGAGTTACACTGTCACCATAAGATGTGCACTAAAAGTCATGAAGATGCCACCCAGCAGTTAGTACTGAGCCGGAGAATTTACTGACACATTATGGCAGAAAACTTGGACATACTAAAAAACAAATATTATTTATTAAAGAGAATAAATACAAAAGAAGAAAAATCATATTTATAGAGAGAAGAAGCTACGTTTAAGAGCGGTGCATTGAATGCAGTGTGGAAAGCAAGAAGTCAACAGCAGAGTCCAGCCCTTGTCTGGGCATGATCCTGCCTCTGGATGATACACCAGATTCTTCTCGGAGAAGTTCAGTCTCTCAGACCGTGTTTGAGGAAAAGAGCCTTGTATGGTGTCCTCCCGCTGTGACACTGATTCTCGGCTCAGCAGAGGCCGGTGTGGGGCTGCACTGGCCTCCCAAGTGGCCTTCCCACCAAGGGCACGCCAGGCAGGTGCCCTTCCTCCAAGGACCGCTGCAGTGGCATTGTGGCTGAGCACCCAGCGTCTTTGGTTGATGACTTGGATTCTGGGCCTGTGCAGCAGAAAACCACTGCGCTATGCTCCGTCCCTTACTGAGGTCGCCTCTGACCTCTGGCTTGGGTGGGATGGGGCTCCTCCATATTTGGCGCCCCCTTTCCCTCTGCCAGTGTCTGTCACACCACCCTGTTGGCCTGAGCATTTTGAGAGCCTGACGAGTGCTCTGTGCTTCCTCCCTAGCTTCCATCCTGCTGAGTGGAAGGCACGTGACTGATTATGGGACGTGTCTGAACTGCTCTTTTCCTCATTTGCACCAGGCAGATGCTTCTCCTCAGGTTTGCAGTTAACCCACTCAACAAATACTTGTTGAATTCAATCCTTCAAGAGATACCTGCTGAGACCCCAGAATACATTACGCTGGAAATCGCAGCCAGGGTCCCTCTCAAGGGAGAGGACAGTGAAAAAGCAAGCTCAGAGGACCTCCAACACGGGCGCTCTGGGAAGACAGGGGATTCTAGGACTGAGAGTTTGCAGGACGAGCCTGGAGCATCTTACAGTGTCAGACGGAAAGCAGGTGGGGCAGAGGATCCAGTGGGAAATGAGCAAATGAAACAGCTCTCACTGACCAAAGTGAAAACAATTGAACATCAAAATAACGAAGTTAATATTGTTTCCAAAGCATAAAGTGAATAGTCACGAGTCTTCACTGGTATAAAAACTCATTGACTGAAAACTCATTGGGTGAAAGGATGCCCATGTGTGGGAGACTAAGAGATGATGACCTGGGTACTCCAGCTTCAGGGCGAGGGAGCCCCACTCCTCACCGCTGAAGTGTGGGCTCAGAGGAAAAACTGTCTTCCACAGCAGAACGTGAGAGGAGGGAGGCAGTAACGTCAGGATGGAGGGACCTGACAGGCCTGCCTCTGCCGGGTGTCCAGGTGGACATCCTGAGGGACAAGCCGTGTTGGTTCCAGCCTGTGCCTCTGATAGGACGTGAGAAAGTGGCTCTTCTGTGGTCTCCCTCCCAAAACACGTGGTCCAGTCCTAAGGGCCACATCAGACAAACACCAGCTGAGGGGCGCCCTACTAAATGCAGCATGGCTTTTTAGTGAAGGGATAGGAAATGTAGCTTTTATTTCGAAGCAGTGCACACTCTCCTCCCAGCCAGGCCTCCAGGACCATGTCAGGTCGGACGCTGAAGGCCTGGGCAATGGGTGCAAGTCCCTCCTGAGCGGAGGGTGCAGGCCAGGCAGCAGGGGGAGTCTCCTCTCGCTTGCCACCAGGAGAGACCGATCTTCAAGAGGCCATCCGCCCTTCCCTCGCACCTCCTCTTAGTGCAGAAGCCTCACTCTCACAACTGTGCCTGGTAAATGCACGGCCTCGGACATCACCGCTAAGGGGCAGAGAGGAGATACTGATCTGGAAATTCCTTGTCCCCAGTTACGGCCAGGACTGTAAACTTCTTGCTTTCAGAACATTATGATGCTGCTCCGTGCACAGCGGGGTGGTAACTGAAAGCCGTTCACGTCCGCACGCGAACTTAGAACAATCCACTCTCCACTTGAGATGCCTCTGCGTCATAAGAACAGAACGTTTAACTCATCTTCCAGTTTCCCACTGAACGTCTCATCAAATGCGTGATTTCATAAAGCCCACAGTTAATTTCCGCCACGAGGAGACACTTGATGAGCAGTGCAGGCTGGACAAGGATATTAAACGTCAAGAAACACACGAGAAGTGAAAAGGCCAACACCTTGGGCTTCTACAGATAACCTGAGCAAGAGAAGGGAGAGACTGCCTGCCGAGGTGGGCCTCTGAGGAACACGCCTCCCCGCCCGGCTCCGCTGGGCCTCCCTGTCCTGCGTGGGCCGGGGGCAACCTCCACGGTCCCGAACGCAAAGCCTCACGTGCCATTTCGCCACTTTGCGAGGAGCCGGCGGCCGGAGGGAGCTCACAGCGAGCTGTAGAAAGCCAGAAGCTCGTCCAGGTTGGGTGCCCGCCGGCTGCGCTCTGCCGCTCGCGACGCAGCGAAGGCACCTACTACGTGCGCCCGCGCTCCTACCCTGCCAGCGCGGGGATGACAGGCCCAGGCTGGCTGAGTCCCACGGACCGTCACAGTCTGCCTGGAAAGACACTTCCCCGGGACAGGGACGGGCCGGCCCGAGAGCAGCGAGGGGCCCGGTTCCCCGCCGCGCACCGCCCGTGCCAGCGCCCCGCGACCCTCCCGAAGGGGGTCACTTCCTGGGCGCGCCCCGCCCCGGGAGAGCGCTTCG